ATAAATAAAATACAGAAATTCGTAGCAAAATTAAATAAATTATAAGTTAAAAAAATAAATAGAAAAACATTCAAAGTAAATATCGTCATTTTTATGAAAAAAAGGTTTCTGGCTGAAGCCCCCCCCCCCAAAATGGTAAAATATAACCATGTCTTATGGAACAAAATATTAAAGATTTATCTCTTATAGTATTATTGTTCGTGTAAATACATTTAAAAGAACTTAAGGAATCACTTAAACACCATTTCATATAGTTTCTTTCTTTTTTCCAAAGTAAATTTTTTTTTTATATCTTTTTATTGAGAAATAATAAATTTTGCCACACTTAAGGGCACTGAGTACTAAAGCTGAGTAAGGCACATTCATACTATATATACAATACAATAAAAATAAATAAATAAATAATTAAAAAAATGTACATCTATATAACAAAGGCAAAGAATATAATAAATCAAGGAAATGTAACTTAGAGTTAAAATTAATAAAATACAGAAATTCGTAGCAAAATTAAATAAATTATAAGTAAAAAAAATAAATATAAAAACATTCAAAGTAAATATCGTCATTTTTATGAAAAAAAAAGCTTTCGGTCTGAAGCCCCCCCCCAAAATTAAATCCTGGATCCGCTAGTGCCTACTTTTATGCTGGAAATTTTGGGCAATACTTTTACGGTGGTTGGTTAGAAAATCACATCATTTTTTTACACAACTTGAGGTGAATCTCAAATTTTTGCCTAACGAACCTCAACTTAATTAATATAGACTTAAACTTTATTAAACGAAGATGTTTTTGTGAAAGTGGGGTATATGTATTATAGTTGGATGAAAAGAAAACAAAATCACGAATAATTTATGACATTTTTAAAAAGAGAATTTAGCTAAGTATAGCCGCTCAAAATTCCTATTTAAATGGTTTTAACAATGAAAAACCCTATTGTATTGTAAAATAAATTTTGTCTAGTTTGCAGTGAAGCAATTTTTAATTATTTAAATTAAATATTTCTTTAATTGTCGCTCCCTACTTTAAAAAAAAAAAACCGTGATTCACTTAAAAATAAACAAATCTTGAATTTCCTACTTTATTCTGGAAATTGGCCAATTGATTGTATAAACTTTTTTCGTAGCTCTCGAGATCTGCTATATCTCTTTTAAATATTTCCCTCTACTTACTGGACATTCTGTAAGGTATATTATACATCTATATTAATTTCTACTCTTATTTCCTAAAGACTTAAAATACTTATACCACTTTTATTTTTTCGTCCTAGAATCTTTCTAGTCCTGAGTCTCTGTTGGTTTAGTGTCCTCCATCAGTCTTCACTGGCTTCCAATACCAGTGAGATGGCTGAGAGAGAAGCACTGGGATCTCCTGGAGTCCTGCTCTGGCTTCCACAATTGGGGGACAAAGATTGATTCAGCGTCCCCTGGGCCATTGTAAATATTGTACTTAGGCGTGAATGTTTTTTATTTATTTTATTACCATTCGGCTTTAATCTGTTATTTTATTTATCTTGCATGTATCTTTTTATTTATCTCTATATATAGATATATATATTTTTTTTTACTTTGGTTATTTATATTTATTTTCCTTTCTTATGTACATATTGTGTTTGTGTGAATGAATACTATAGCCCTAGTAAGAATGCCCTTCAATGAGGCAGACTGTATTAATCCTCAATAAAAGCGTTTTTTTTTTTTTTTTTTTATCTGCCTTGTGAACAATAATTATAGTGATATATGAACACATTCACACCATATATACAGAAAATATAAAATTAACAAAAGTAAAATAATAACTAAATAATAATCAAAAACTATATACAATGAAAAATAAAATAACTTAAAGATAAGTAAATCAAAAACATAAAAACACAGCCATACCTATATACAATATATACAATCAGGCAGGGAAACCCAAGCCAGGCTTCTTCCTCCTACTATAGAGGTGCTTGAGTGCTAAAGCCAGTGGAGAAAAGCCATAAAAAAAAAATAAATAAATAAAAAAAAATCTTTCTAAACTTGGTATGTTGATCTTGAAATCTATACAAACAATCAACAACTTTCTTCTTCTGATGCTGTGATGATGCAGCGATAAAATTTTAAATTGATACTTCTAGGTCCCATCTGAGATTTACTAATGCATGTCCGAACACATCAAATTTCATTAATTTAACATTTTCTTTTGTGGAGGGGCATTACCAATGACTCTCAATTGAGATAGTAGTGAAATACTTTACCTACCCCGAAGCTTTGAAATTGTTTAAATTTTTTTAACAATGCGCTTGCAACCTTCCGCATTCAGCGAACTGGTTTCGCATTAACATGCGAGATTATTATTCCTTTAAACTGTCATTTTACGGTATCATTATGATTATAATAGCCTGTCTCTATTCTTGGAAGCTTCAATAGTTAATAATAGGCTGACAAGGATGGCGGGGGCAAACTGATCGAGGAATTAACTGTGTCATAACTTTTCTTCTTTTTGGACTCAATAATTATAGGTATGATTAAGATTACAGATAACTTAACTGACCGTTGGTTCTGATCGAAAAACTTACCCAAACGTTCTAAATACTTTAGATGAGAGTTGAGTATTAAGTTGAGAGTTGTATATATATATATATATATACAACAAATATAATATACAACGAAGAAACGTTCGTTTCAAAATAAAAAAAAATCTACCTTTTCGAAGAATAGAACATTTTTTTAGAGATAACTTTAGTTACATCAGAAACTTAGTTCTATCATTTTTTTTTTTCGCCCGTTCTGTTTTGATTCGGTAATGACAAATATTCACATACTAAAAAAATCCGATCTTTCAAAAATATGTTTTATATACGGAATGATTCGGGAGGAACGGGCCATATTTCTAGAGTGGGTTGCACTGAGGGAAGCAATAAAAAAAATCATTTGTTCCAATCCTATTTTCTTCTTCTTCTTAATCAATTCCTCTTCTACCGCTAGATCAGTGTAGAGGATTCTGTTTATAGAGCTTCATCCATTTATCTCGTTCCCGCACCAGCTGACTGCGTCTATTCCAATTCATTCCTCTCCTATTTAAATCCTCCCTGACTGAACCTTCCCAGGTCTTTCTGGGCCTTCCTCCCGGCATTCTTCCTTCCACTTTTTCTTCATAAATAATTTTGGCCATTCTTCCCTCCTGCATTCTTTTGACATGGCCAAACCAGCATAGCCTGTTTTCTTTAATTGTGTTTTCTGCTGGTTTTATTCCCATATTGCTTCTCATCGTTGTATTCCTGAGTTTGTCCCTCCTAGTTTTCACCTCTATTCTCCTCAGAAATCGCATTTCCATTGCTTGGATATTGCTTTTATGTTTTGAGGTTATAGTCCAGGATTCACTGCCGTAGGTCAGTATTGGAACCAATGTATTTTTATACACCGTCTCTTGACATTTTTTTATACTTCTCTCTTTACTAAGTAGCCTGTTTTTAGTGAATAGAAGCATTTGCTGGCCAGTTTTATTCTTTCTCTGATTTCGCCATATATCCAACCGTTCTCGTTTAGATGGGCTCCCAGATGCTTAAAATCTTTGACGTGCTCCAGTTCCTCCCCCTTCAATCGAGGTACTCGATCTCCCCTCTCTTCTCCACCAAATCCTATTTTCATTGGTATATTTATATTTTAATTAGTTAATTAAAAAGAAACAAGATTTCACAAATAACCAATATTTTAAACTTGTATTACCATTTCGGTTATCGAAGCCTTATTTTAATAAATTTATGACATCATATCAAAATTTCAGTCGTATATTCTTCCGTTAAATGGACCGTCAAATTTTACCTCTTTAATTTTTTTATTATTATTATTTATATGATATTTACAACTGTATAAAAAAAAAAAAATACATATAGTAAATTCGTGCATGAATATAATGACATGAAACACATGTTGAGAAACTACCCATTGGTAGACCTCTAATAATATGTCTATATTAGGAGATTACGGGGCCATCTTCTTTTCAGACGCCTCGGAGGGTTGTTAGGAATTGAATTGGTAGCAAGGTTAGAAACAAGAGAGTTGGGATGATTATGAATTTTATTATGGAAGGATAGATATCTGGATTGAGCCAGATCTGATACACAAGGAACATTAAGGTCATTGTGGACGATTTTATTTGTAACAAAGTAAGGAGCATTGAGGATTTTACGAAGGATTTTGGATTGTAAGGATTGGATACGAGAGGAATTTGAAGGTTTGGTGGAGCCCCATACTCATTAATTTAAATGTTCGCGTAGAAAGCAACGACTTTATTTTTACTTATTGATTAATTTGTTATTTCACTTATGTATTTTATTCGATTTTTTTTTTTTACACATTTATTTATAACCATGGCTTATAAAAAAATATCTTAAAAATCTGGTGATTTGCACATCGCACAACTTTCATTACCAACCTTAGAGTAGATAAGAATCTTATTTATTTTATATTAACCTGGGTTCAAGAATCACTTAAAGACGATTTTAGTTAGATGGTTAGTTTCTTTCTTGTTCTTCGAAATAAAATATCGTTTTATATATATAAAGTTTTCGAGTTGAAGACCTCTTCCCCTCAATATAATTTTGGATCCGCTACTGATCGAGTCCAAATAACTTAGACTCGCAAAATGATCTGTGTGTTTGAGAACAGTATCGTACTACCATTAAGTGAAATGGAATACAAATTACGCAGCCTAGATAGGTATCGTCTTGATATGTTGTAGCAACTTTATTATAAACATTGACAGAAGCGGCACATTATATAATTGATTTTATAATTGTTTACTCTTTTTTTCGTAAATGGCTCTAACAATTTTGACTAAACTCGTTATATTTATATAAAATTGAACGATCTTTAACATTTGTTAGATCTTATCCTAAATAGATTTATTTTATTTTTTTTAATTTTAATTAATTTTAACTATATTAAATTCCTATTAAAAATCTACTTAGATTGTGACTGGATCTGTATTTATAATTAAAATTTGTTTAATTTTTACAGAGACTGGAGGAGTGGTATGGCGGAAGGAGGAAAAGCACCCGTTGACCCACCAAGCAGACATTCCGATGATGATTCTGGTTGTGCTTTAGAAGAATATACCTGGGTTCCGCCAGGTTTAAGACCAGATCAGGTAATTTTAATGGAGAAAAATCAGAAAAACGTGACTCATATTACACTAATTTTAGACAGTGAGTATAGAATAAAGTAGAGACGCCTTTGGCTGGGTAATGTGTAACAGGAATGCCCATCCCCTCCAGGGTCCGTGGCGCGAGTACCTCCCCCCCCCCTTCTTCCAAGATATTTAATTGCTCAGCTTTTCTTAAAAACAGAGCAAGCTAATGTAGATTTAGAAAAATCGTAGATCGTATACAATTACACTTGCTGCAACCTGTTCCATGTTTTCCGTTTGTCTCATAACCCTGTCGAAATCCCCCCCCTCAAAAATTCAAAAACTTTAAAAAGTTTAATGGCGCAAATTTAGCCATGAAACCCCCTTCTGGGTGCCCCTGATGTGTCCCATTAATCCCACTTCTACTGGATCTAACTTTCCTATCTCTCTCTGCCCCACAGTGGTAGAAAATTGACTTTTTTTGAAGAAATACTGGCAATACCGATCTGTAAGTCTCAAAAAAAAAAATTGATACTATCTTAATCACAACTAAATTTGCTATACAATTATAGCAATATAGTCCGGATTAACAGTTGATAAAAAAGAAAAAACGAACAACAATTAATTCTATCTCTCAAGATCGGATAGTTTCAGCAAACTAAATTATTGGAACAAATGAGATAGTTGTTTTCATTACAACCAATCTTGACCTGGGAACTTATATTAGGAAAATTAATGGAATAGCTAATAAAGTAATAAACGTAAGATTGAGAGGGTAACAAATAGTGAAAATCTTTCTATTGTGTGAAAGAACAGGGATTGTATCTATTTTACGCTTTTCAACAGCCTACCACTTATAATTTTATGCTAATTAATGAAAACACTTAGGTTCGATTAAGCAAAAAATAAATAATTAACAGACCCTGTGAAGGCTATTAGATAGCGAACAATCGTGTATACACTAGGGTAATTAGGACTAGGGCTGATAAGCGTGGTCTTTAAAAAGTTTTTACAGTTGAAGTAGTAAGTGAATCTATGAGATGTCTATTCTTTAAAAAAACTAAATTGTTTTTCAATTCTATAAAATAAATAAATGCAAATGATTTTGAGCGGAGAGGGAAGATTGAGAGTGCATTCTGTCCTACCAAAAACTCATTCCATAAAATTATTTTTTAACATCTAATTATTTTTAAAATTCGAACTAATTAAATATGTACTAACTCATATACTAAATGATAAAAATACGGCAGAGTTCTTTGTTTTTAATCCGAAAGAATTAGAATCTGAAGAAATATTTTTTTTTAATTTAATTTTTATTTTACTTATTCTTTTTTTAACATCTAATTATATCTAAGTGAAATATTGTAAATAAAATACCAATTTATAAATCATGTAATAAAAATAGATGGAGTTTTGGTTTAATGGTTTAATTAATAAGAATTCGTAAAATCTGTGAACAAATTATAAGAAGTATCAAAACATTTAAGGGCGACGTAAATATTTATTTAAATAAGCTGACTGCTTATTATAACAAATTTTTTTTAGGACCATGATTATTTCTCAATGGGTGTTGAAGATAAGCATAACCATTGGTACCGTCAGTGCATTGGTAAACATTATTTTACTATAAGAATTTAAAAAATTGTTAGAGATAAAAATGAAGAAATAGAGAAACAAAAAATAAGATAACTGAAAAAAAGCTTTTCACTTGAAAGGTCAATAAAAAATTCATGAATAAATTCTATTATTATGCTCTAAATTAATGTTTTAAAATATGCATCATCTTTCCCATTTCCCGTTTATTTATACTTAAAAAATACTAACAATTATAATTATAGTTATAAAAAGAAGAAACGAGTTAATATTCACTGCTCCGTAAGGATCCGCCCGAAGAGAAGTAGATCATTTAGTTGTGGAGGTACTAAAGCACATCTTCATCCCTCTACCTGCTACTGGAAGGCGCCTCGAGTTTATTCTATACTTAGTGGTTTTAGACAATCATATTCTTGAAAAGGAGCTAAAAAATACTTCTGCCGAAATGAATACGCCGCTACATAAATGGCAGGCATTTAAAAACTGAATTTTCGGATTTTTTTTTCAGTTATTGATTTTTAACTCCAAAACGTTGCTTCCTAACGGAAACTTTTCTATTCCAAAAATTAATGAATATTGAATTATGTTTCTAATTAGTAATTAACATGGTTAATTCATTCTACGATTATGTTCGAAATCAACCTTAAAAACTACAATGTTTGCCATATTTGCCTTCATCCACAAGTGATGTGGACAATATGGCGGGTTTTATCACAGTCTAGTAGCGGTTCTAGGATTTAATTCTGAAGGAAGCTTCCGCCTGAAATTTCATATATATATATTTTTTTCTTTCTTTTTTTTTCCGTTGGCACTACAGACCAAGAAGATCTTTGGCCGCGAGATGTGGTCTCCTTGCGGGAGCCAAGATAGCCTGGAGGGAGTCACCCAACCTCACGTTGCTACGAACCATGGGTTCCATGGTGCAGCGGCAGGCCACCCGTAGCTCCATAGCCGATCCCTTTGGGGCCAATCTGGCAATGTCCTTCCCACCGACTTTCTCGGGTTCAAGGACAGTGACAAATCGGTCTAGATCCATGGATTATTGCTGCTCGGAGTCAGCAGGCGCACGAGGACCTATATTTCTTTCCCCGAAACAGACCGTCCATGGACCGAATCTCAGGGGGGCTATTAACATCCTGGTAAACCACATCCCGATTTCCCGATTTAAGTACACGGGGTAGGGTCATCAGTCCTTCTCCCGGTCAGTGTGAGTTGCCTCCAGTAGGCTGACGGGCCTCACATACCGGGGGGGGAGACTCGGGTAGCATGGCTTTCCCTGGTGGACGTTCACCCAAATCGGGCGGTCACCCATCCAAGTACTAACCACGCTCGACGTTGCTCAACTTTGATTACCTATTGCAAGCGCCTTAGCCCGTACGGCTACCCCAGCCCCCATATATATATATATATATATAAATATGAAAAGAAATGTGTAATTTAGTTGTTTCGTCTAGTATTTTGCCATAAAATGACGGTCTAAATTCCTTAACAGGATAATTGACGTATATGAAACTAAAACACAAAATTTGGCATAATATTTTCAAATATTCAATATTCAAGTATTTCACTAATAAATAATTAATTTTGAGTGTAAATATTCAGACTATTTTAATTATTCGTTGGTTTTAGTAGGAAGTATTAAATTAATTAAAGTATTAAAAAGTATTTGTTTAATACAATTTACTTTAAAATAATAATAATAAAAGTGATGGTTGCTTAGTAAATTTTTCAAGATAAAAATTTGTCTAACCTTCCATGGGGTGTCGCGCGCCCCTCTTCTGGATCCACTATTGCTGACAGTCTGTGGCAGATGTTAACACATAGATTAATAAGTTCCTCAAGGAACCTCATTTCTGATACCATCAATCTAATAATAATACCCTAAGAGGCAGACTAGTGTAATGGTTTAAAAAAAAAAAAAATCTGTAAACAAATACATAGGATGCAGGCTGGGCTCTTGTTTGATTCCAACATGGAAATAGAAACATTTATAATTTAAACACACTTCTTATTCAAAAGTAACTTATTCCAACATTTTCCATTTGATATTTGTTTTATATTTTTTCTGTCAATATATTTTTACCTTAATATTTTTCCTGTATGAATTTAAAACAAAATGCCTGCCTGCTGAATGAAGTATGTTTCCTCCCTCCATAATGTTACTTATATAGCACGTGTTTATACAATTCCCTTCATCCACAGTTTATAATTTAAATTAAAAACCTGTTCTCTGGTATTAATTACTGTCTGAATTAGTTCCATATAATTTTCATCATTAATGCTGCTAAAATGAAAGTGTTTTATACAACTAATGATAATCAACACCTATTATTATTATCTTATTAGGTTTTTTTTTCTTTTGCTTCATCAATTACAGTATATATTTGACTTCCCAATTTTTTCACAGGTGCAAAAAACATCTTGAAAATGCAGCCTAAATTATCAGCCACTTTTATTCATTCCTTGAATCAGCTGTTGTATATTTTTGTGTACCTTCTAGTGCTTACTTACTCAACTGCCGACTTTCTATATGCAATCCTTATTTCTTTACTCAAATCTATAAATATTACCCAAGTACCTAAGTTTTATAAACTGTTCTGTTTTGCCTTCTCCAAACATATTGGATACTCAAGCCTTATCTATTCCATATGTGAAAATTTTATTTTATTTCTATTTTTATAATTGTGCTCTGTATCACATTTATTATTATTGAAAAGTTATTGAGTAATTTTTTATGTGAAGTAAGTTAACTGTATGACGTTTAATAAATAATTTTAAATGTTCTCATATTATTTGTCTAAAATCTGTAAATGCTTAAGTAGAACTTCACTTGCAGGTTCACCTTTATTTTTCTGGATTATCAGAGGATAAAATACCTTATGTCAATTCCCCTGGAGAAAGGTACCGAGTTAGACAACTTTTACAGCAGCTTCCTCCACAGGACAATGAAGTATGTTACTGTAATAACTTAACTGAGGAAGAAAGAAAAGAGCTCAAAATATTTTCTGCTCAAAGAAAAAGAGATGCATTAGGAAGAGGAAGTGCAAAATTGGTGAATTCGCCAACTTCGTGTGCATTGGTAATTAAATATTTTCTATTATAATAACCTTTTATCACGTAGAAATTTTTAAATATTACTTTCCTTCAATAGCTTAAAAATATATAATTAAACTTATTATTGATGATATCATAGTGAGCAAACAATTTTGATCTCTTTAGGAAAAATACTTCTCAAATATTCTGCTAGTTAATTAAGTACTTACATAATTTTCAGGACTGTTTAATCAATTAATTCTATTCTGATCTTTACCATTGAACAAGTTAGACTAGTTTAGTCATAAAAAAATGTAGTTTTTCAGTATCAATCACTATTAAAACTTTTTCTAAGTTATATTTAATATGAAAATTTAATTATTCACTTTTCAAGCTTGATTCACTTGCAATCACTTATTAACTTAAATAATGAATGATTGTTTTATTTGATTTTCTAATAACTTTTATTATCAATTTAAAATACTTTTTAGTGTCAAGAATTGTTATCAGCTGGAGATATGTGTGTGCAAGCCTCAAGAGCTGGTTCAAACAAAAGTTGGCACCCATCATGCTTTACTTGTACCGTTTGTAATGAACTCCTTGTAGATCTGATTTATTTCTATGAAAATGGAAAATTATATTGTGGTAGACATCATGCAGAAACTTTAAAGCCTCGTTGTTCTGCTTGTGATGAGGTATTATTTAATATTACTAATTTAGTCTCGATTAGCATATTCAACAGGTAGATGGAAATCCTTAAAAAAAAAAAAAATGCTATTTTTTGTATTGTTTTCCATTTTTACTAACACCCACTGCTCGTTAACTTCATTCCCTGATAACATGGTGTTACATTATCAATAAGTAGTCATATCATTCATAAATGAAAATATACCAAGATTCAACCAATGCTACTAAATTATTTTTTCTTGAAAGGTAGTCAAAACAATTGGGAATATTCAAAAGTGAATAAGGTGATATAATAATATGAAATCATCAACAACTTTTTGACAAATCTCTTATTTTACATAAAATCATATTCACTTGACTCAGAATAGTGATTGTGCAATAAATAAACACGAACAGACATTTAAAAAAGGAAAATGTGATTTTCTTATTATTGTTATTCCTGTATTATCTTGGCAAAAGTTATTCAACCAATTGATTTGACCATCTATGAAATATATCCTATACAATTTATTTTATATATATATATATATATATATATATATATATATATATATATATATATATATATATATATATATATATATATATACGTATTATGGTTAAAGAGAAGTTGGTTGGAATGTTCATTCAAAAATGAATATCATTTATTTATTTTTAATTTGTTTATTTTTGACTGAACACCGCAACCAACTTTTCTTCAATTATTCACTACAGTCAACCATCATACCACTATATGTATTATAGATTATATTATATTCATTCACAGGGCTTTGTATTTAGAGGTATAAGTATGTATGTATATTACATACTCTAATATACTTATAAATTTAAATTACAAATAATTCTAAATTTCAGATTATATTAGCTGATGAATGTACTGAAGCAGAAGGAAGAGCATGGCATATGAAACATTTTTGTTGCTCAGAATGTGATAAACAGCTTGGAGGGCAAAGATACATAATGCGTGATGGCAGACCTTATTGTCTGAGCTGTTTCGATACTTTATTTGCAGAGTTCTGTGATTCCTGTGGTGAAGCTATAAAGGTTGATCATGGTAAGATTAGTAATCATCTTCTCATATTTGGAATGACGGATTGGTCTAAGATGTTAACAACTGATTTTTATTTAATTAAGTAAAAGATGGAATAATTAGTACTAGTAAAACTCCTGTGAAATTCTTTTATTCACTTTGAAACCACTTCTGATTGTTCTGTTCGTTTTATTTATCTTAGAAATTAATAATTATTTACAAGAGGTTAATAGATTGTAAACAATTGAGAACAAGTGGCAGACTGGAAAAAATGGAAGACAGCATTGGCATAAAACAAATAAAAAGAAAACAGCAAACATCTGGAAAGATTTTCAGCAATATTTCAATAATGGAAACTGATGGACAAATAAGGTACAGACAACATTAAGGACTTCAAAGAGATATTCTGGATATATATTCTGGATATATATATATTCTGGATGTAGAAATAGCTATCGACAGAACTTAACAGAAAAAGTCTCAGGTTCAACTATAATGGACAACCTATTATCAGAGCTGTTTAACATGTTAGCTGTTAATCTCTGGCGTTCGATAACTTTATATCAGATATAATGATTATTTATGTTTGCATCTATTTTTATATCTATCCAAATCATATTAAAATATTTTTTAAAATGATCATTTTAGAACTTCATAAGATAGGAAAAATTTGAAACAATCCCAGCCGAAATCAAGATGAATATCAGAACCCGGGAACCGTAGCCGCAGCTAACGTGTTAAAGATTGGGCAGAACACCTGAAATCTAAGGTATTACAACTAATCCTGAATATATGGGAGGATGTAATGATACCATAGGATTGGAATAGAGACATAATCTATCCTATCCTAGAGAAGGACTCCATGCCTGAATGTGGTAATTATAGAGGCATGGCACTCCTCCTCGTTGACTCTAAGATAATGAACAATATCCTTCTAAACCAGTCATATTCATATTATGAAAATATAATAGGCAATCACCAAGTAGGATTCAGAAGAGGAAGAAGCATACTTAACCAGATCTTTATCCTAAAACAGGTGTTTGAAAAACAATAGGCGTAAACAAATGATCCTAAATGTCAAGTCCAGATACAAACAGAAGTATCTAAAGCCTTGAAGTTTTAACATGTTAGTAGTAGGGAGATGGACTCTCCCTGATGCTGTACAACTTAGCCTATTCAGCGATAATAACATCTCGTGAAAATGAAGGGATGGACGTCAGAAGCAATTATAAAATCCTCAGGTATGGAAATGATAGTTGTCCTTAGCAGTAAATAAGAGGACATTGAGAGCCTTGCTAAAGACTCCAGTAAGAGGAGCAAAACAACTTTGTGCTAAGTAAACGAAGAAAAAAAAAAATTATTTTTATGTGGTAGTAACCTAAAATATCCACCTCAGTAGCATAATCTGCATGGATAGAAAACCATTTGTGGAACTAGACAGGTTCAAATACCTCAGCTCCATAATAACCTCAATAAATGACCAATATCAGAAACGTACCAGTATATGACTGAAAATAGAGCTTTCTTCTCTCTTTCAAGGATTTTTAAATATTAAAGAATCTCCAGATTTCTCAAACAAAAGGTATACAATGCTATAATAAAGCCATTTCTGAGCAGCAAATCAGCTCCCATAAAAGAAGAATTGATAGATTTAATAAGAACGTTTTCACAAGAGATAAACTTAATAAAGAGCGGAAGAGAGGGACCAATAATGAACTGCTTGTCAAAACTGGTCAGTTAATACCTTATGATATGAATGCCAGGAGATTATGATGAGTAGGACATGTAACTCAGGGCAACTATCAAAAACCTTTTACATAACAATAAATCTCAAAATAGTTGGGCAAGAGGCCATATGGAATGCCAAAGATCATATGGATATAGATAGGATCAACAAAAATCCTTCAGAGCTGCATGCACCATACTGCAAATTAGTAACCCAAGATTGGCAGTATTGAGGTTGGCAGGTTCAGTTAACCAAATATCTTCAGTTATCCAAATTCAAAGAAAACAAATTATAAATTATAAATTGTTATAAAGGATTTTTAAAAAATCACGCAAAACATTAAAAATATAAGATTTCATTTACAATAAAACATAAAATAGCATGAAAATATTATTCAAATTAAATGACAAAAAAATATAATATAGTAACTTTATTTCTTCCTTCATTCCTACTGCTGAGATAACTGTTCTCAATCTTCTTTTCATCAGACTTAGAAGTTTGAGAACAGTATTTAACAATCATCTATTTTATTATTCCATTCCCAATTTTTAGTGTTATCTTAATAAAATAATACACCTTTGAATATTGTATTTAGCTCTTTAATTAAATATAAATCTCAACTTTTTTTTATAAAGTTACACACACGCACACACACACAATAATTAAAAGTTTCATACATTTCAACAATAATACCAAATTTTTCCTACTTCTAATTGAACATCGATAACCCAGCCGGGAACGACAAAGAACACAATAAACAAGTAATGATTTAGCGAAGTTAAATTATGCCTATAACAATATATATGGCTCTTTATACTTTATTTTATTGTAATCTGATTAAATTTTAGCATTTGACATTAGTATAAAATATATGTAAGGTTGTTTTAATTCATCATTTTAGCAATTTTAAAGTTTTAATTTGGCAATTTTAATTACAACCAATCAGAGATTGTTGTGTACACTGTTATTGTTGGTATTGATATTATTTTCGGACTCCATGATTGGGGTGCTCGTTGCAGTCCCAGTAGCTTGATGTACTTTTGGCGATACTGTTCGGGCTGTCAGCTTGCTGCCCTTCTTGGGGTATCGATGCTCAATTAGAAGTAAGAAAAATTTGGTATTATTGTTGAAATGTATGAAACTTTTAATTGTTGTACCAATGATTGGTATTGTTTTTCCAGACTGAAGAGGATCCCATTATTTATGTTAAAAAACAGGGATCAAAACATTTGAATAAAAAGAGTAAACAGAAGTTGTTTTAGCTCATTTAAGTGTATTTAATGACCTATTTTCTTACTAAAATAGATATCTTAAGTCATAATATATAAAGGTTGAATTATAAAAACATTATAATACTATATGTATTATTTACTATATGCTTTCTATTTTTTGTTTCTTTAAACACTTTCTTTTTTCTCATTTTCATTAATTGTAATAGCTTTTCTGTATGTTTTATTTGTTTTAGTGTTTCTCTACCGAACTCTGTCTGTCTCCTTCCAAAAACTTCTCATGTCTAGTACCCTAATCACCTGCCATGTTAACTCTCAATCCCTCCCCGCCCACTATGACGAATTCCTGCAATATTTCACTCAAAATTTTTACCATATTATAGCTATCTCCGAAACTTGGCTCAAACCTTATATCCCGTCCTCTTCTGTCTCCCTGCCTAATTACAACCTCTTCCGTCATGACCGGTTAAGCCGGATTGGCGGTGGAGTAGCCATATTTGTCCACAATAGCCTGAAGACCCGAATCCTCGATTTATTCCCATCTTCCAACCACCCACAAATTGAATACCTATTAGTTGAAATCCTTCGTAATACTTCTCCTCTCCTCTACGCTGTGGTATACCGTCCTCCTCTTGTTCCATTTCACACGTCCTTTGAATCTACCCTATTGAATTTCGTTCCCCTCTATCCCAGAATAATCATCTCAGGTGACCTCAATACCAATTTCCTATTTAACTCCAATGACAAATCCTATCTAGAAGACCTATTCTTCTCCCTTCACCTCTTTATCGTTCCTTTTTCTCCCACTCACCATACTAGCAGGTCCGACACTTGGCTAGATATCTATATTATAGACTCTGCACAAAACCTCCTCTCCTCTTCACAACTGCCAGTATCCTTTTTGTCATCTCACGATCTGATACAAATAACATATAATATCCAAACTCCTCCTATTCAGCCTCGAACTATCACTTTCCGCCATCTAGATTCCCTTACACGAGAACAAATATTACCTGACCTGGAAATCCTAGATTGGAATAAAATATATTCTTGCACTTCTATCGACTCTATGGTCGATATTCTTACTACCAATATCCTCAATACCCATGCCCCTCTCGAAACCTCTACATTTCGTCACCGGCCTGCTCCTTGGATGTGTCAGGAAATTAAAGACCTGCAGAAGAAGCGCGACGCTGCTCGTAGGCGCTTCAGACGTACTAGGCTTGCAGATGACTACCAAGCATTCAGGGTGCTTCGCAACTTGACACAAACAAGGATCCGGCATGCGAAGTCCCTCTACTTCCACGAAGCCCTTTCCTCAACTCCTGACATAAAATCAAAATGGCGACTGCTTAGTAAACTCTCCCTTTGTGATCCTTCCCGATCCCCTACCCCAGCCTTTCCAATATCCCCTGATGATCTAAACTCGCATTTTATATCTGTTGCTAATACATCTCCTTTATCCTCCTGTTCCGACTTTCCTATAGAGATACCATTTAACGACAATAACTTTTATTTTTCCGACATTTCCCCTACAGACCTTTTAACCGCTGTAATGAAATCCCACACCAATTCCATAGGACCTGACGGCATCCCTGTCAAACTAATAAAATTATGTTTTCCTGAAATCCTCCCAGTCCTTCTTTTCATCTACAATTTCTCCCTTCAGAATTCAGTATTCCCTACATCTTGGAAAAAAGCCATTGTCCTTCCTTTGAATAAAAATTCTAATCCGACCTCACCCGAAGATTTCCGCCCAATTTCAATTCTTTCCAACCTCTCAAAACCCCTAAAAAGATTGGTGCAATCACAAGTCTCCAACTTCCTTGAAAAGTCTAACCAACTTGATCCTCTCCAATCTGGTTTCCGTCCCAGCTACTCCACACAATCCGCCTTAATTAAAATCACCAGCGACATTCAAACTGCAATAGATGATAAAAAGTTAACCATCCTTATCCTTCTCGACTTCTCCAAAGCCTTCGATTCCATTAACCATTCCATCCTTTTCAACAAACTGAAATTATTATCCTTCTCCAATAGTTCCATCTCTTGGTTTCAATCTTTCCTCTCACAACGTACCCAAGCAGTCTCCATACCCAACCAACCACGATCTGCCTTCCTTTCTTTATCCTCTGGAGTTGCCCAGGGTTCAAGCATATCTCCTCTCCTTTTCAGCTCCTACATTAACGACCTACCTAAATCAATTCTCCATTGTTCCCATCACCTTTATGCAGACGATTCACAGATCTACCTATCATTTTCCCCTCCTGAGTTACTGGGGGCATTTGCCAAGATCCAAGAAGACCTAGATCGAATCAGTGCCTGGGCAAATGTAAATGGATTAAGGTTAAATGCCGCCAAAACTCAGGCCATTGTCATTGCTTCCAAGCCCCTTCTTAGATCCCATCCAGACTTTCCCATCCTTCACCTTAATGACCAGCCAATCTCCTTCTACTCCTCTGTTAAAAATTTAGGATTTTTCATTGATCAAAACCTCCTTTGGAATCACCATATTTCTCATATCTCTTGACGGACAATTTCCACCCTCAAACTATCCCATCGCTTCCGCCATCTCCTACCTCAACATACGTGTAGACTCCTAGTTTCCTCTCTCATTTTCCCCCACTTTGACTATAGCTGTGTGGTGTATGATGGTCTCTCTGTGGAGCTCTGTGATAGACTGAAAAGACTAATGAACAGCTGCGTAAGATTTGTGATCAGGCCCCAAGATACTCCCATGTTTCTCACCACTACGCTGAGTTAAAGTGGCTTTTCCCCTCCTTCCGAAGACAATATTTCCTAGGTACGTTCCTCTACCAAATCATCAACAGCCATCGTCCTTCTTACACCTACAACCTTCTCCAGTTCAAATCCTCAGTCCATTCCCTGTCCATAAGATCTCGACCTTCTAACCTTTACATGCCTTCTCACAGATCTGCCTCATTCCAAAATTCCTTTATTGTTCGCTCTGTCAATTTCTGGAATTCCCTCCCTATCAAAATTCGACATTCCCCATCCATATCCAAATTCAAAACCCTCCTATTCCAATTCCTATCCCAAGAACAGTCAGATAGTTGCTAACCATTCGAGCTGATTTTAATAGAGAATTTGATACATACAAATTCATTGATTGATTCATTGATACATTTTTAATTTTAATTCTTTATTATTTTCTCAAAAGTGTATACGAGTCTATCAGTGCAAATAGCTTTAAGTGCCTTGTCATAGTATTAATTGTTTTGTATATAGTTTCGTTTTTTGTATATAGAATGTTTACCTTATATTTTTTTTACATTATTTCTTTTTTTCGATTGATTTTATTTTGGCCAGATGTGATCTTTTAATTTTGTTCTATTTTGTTATTCTCAAGGGACTGTGTCCCAGAATAAAATTATTTGTCTATCTATCTATCTATCTATCTATGTATGTATATATATATATATATATATATATATATATATATATATATATATATATATATATATATATATGCTACTGAGCATATGTTGTATGAACTGCAGAAAAGGCTTTATGACCACTATCTGCAGCTTCTTAACCTTCAGCAACTGAGAGCAGTATTATCATGGTTATGATATGAAATTCTTTGTGAAATTAGTGACATTATAAACGGTACGTTCAATAGCTGTAGAGAGGTAAAGCATAACAGGACATTACACAAGTTATTAAGTTTAAAAAATGTTTACGATTTGCAATCATAAAAATAAAATCACAAAAATTTTATTATTTTTAAAAAATAACTTTCATAAAATTTCCGAAGGTCAAATACAGTCTTATTTATATTAATTTTCAAAGTATTTTATGATGAAAATTCTAGGGAAAATAAATCATGCATAGCTAACAATATTCCTATTCATTTTTGAGCTATATATATATATATATATATATATATATATATATATATATATATATATATACTATATATATACTAATTTCACAAAGAATTTCATATCATAACCATGATAATACTGCTCTCAGTTGCTGAAGGTTAAGAAGCTGCAGATAGTGGTCATAAAGCCTTTTCTGCAGTTCATACAACATATGCTCAGTAGCATTGAGATATGGAAACAATACGAGTAGGAGCAGATATGAAATGTCCAGATTTTCAAGAAGTTGATAAACAACTTTTCCCCTATCATCAAGATAATGGAAATTTGCACCAATTATAAAAAATTGACTCCACAAACTATAAAAAATGGTTTGTGTTGGTGTGGGCCTTAGTATTCATTTAGGCTTTTTTGGGCACTATGAAAAGGATTGCTTCTTGCAGAAATACCAATATTTCTGTTATCACTTGGTGCTTAATATGCTGAGATCCAATAACAGGTTTATTATTGGTACTTCCGGTTTTCCTGAATCTGGCCAAAGCCCAGAAAACCACAATCTGCCAGACGCCAACTGCATCTGCGATATCTACTTGCCTGTGCCCCTAACCACTCATTTTCACGATAATATTACAAAATATGGATCATATGGTTCAGTATGATGCTTCATTAAACAGAATATTACTGGATTAAAATTGAGAAAAGTCATAAACAATTGTTGGTTTACAAAATAAGTATTTTTCACGTTGACTATCCTTTAGTTAATAATTCATAAAAAATAAAGAATACTTGTTTCCTTTTTATGTTCAGCAACAAATAAGAGAATCCCTAACGAACAAAAAAAAAAAAAGTATTTTATGAGAAGGAGTTAGTCGAGGGTGCGGTCAAATAAATAAAAAATTAAAATATATTAATTATTTTAATTTTTGCCTGTAAAAAGTATTTTAATTAAAACGAATAATAATATATACATATATACACGTGATACATATGTATATACACACACTTACACACACACACGCATGCCTGCACACACAGACACAGACACCCACACATACATATAATTATCACTTATATTATATTATACATATATATATATATATATATATGTATATATATATATATATATATATATATATATATATATATATATATATATGTGTGTGTGTATATATATATTTATAGCTTTGTCAAATTTTTCATTGGGAACCCGAGACGTTCCCGTGTCTCCCACCACTACTCTGAGTTAGGGCGGTGTTTCTCTTTCATATATAGACAATATTTCCTAGTCACATTCCTCCATCAAATCATCAACAGTCGTCGCCCTCAAATACCTATGATCTTCTCATTCAAGTCCTCTGTCCACTCTCTCACCACAAAATCTCGACCATTTGAACTTTATACTCCTTTTCTCAATGTGCCTTTTTTCAAAACTCCTTCATCCTCTGCTTCTTTCTGGAATTCCTTACCTCTAAAAATCTGGCATGCTCTCTCCCTATCCACCTATAAAACCCTCCTATTCCAATTTCTTTTCTCACAAGGCAAAATACGGCCAACCACATATTATGTAATAATGTAAAAAACAGTATTTTTTATACATATTACTTATGATACCTTATATATATATATAATAGTCAGGACGCAGTCATTGTGAATATTTTTTATTGGTGCCACTATCACAAGATCCTGAGCATATCTTAAGCACCAATATAAAATATTCACAATGACTGCGTCCAGACTATTTATCACCCATGATATGTAGAACAGTCGACTAACTTCCTTCAACAATTCTTATATATATATATATATATATATATATATATATTTTTTTTTTTTTTTTTTTTTTTTTTTCATGCCATCTTATGTTTGACTACATGGTTTATGTATATGTGTATATGTATTTCAATAAGAATTGAAACACATATGTATCAGTCTTAAGTCATAAATACCCGCTTCCAACTAATATTACTCCATTGAAAATAACCTTTATAAGTTAATCAACTGATTAATTTATAAAGGTTATTTAACTTTTATTTTCATCAGGTGATATAAAACAGCTTTTATAAAAGTTACCATATATTATATTGTTATATTTGTGTGTGTACATGTGCTTGTGCGTGCTTGCATGTGTGCATGCGAGTGTGTATAATGATATATTTATTAATCAATATTATTTTGTCCTAGGCCAAATGAGTCATGATGGGCAACATTGGCATGCTACAGACAAATGTTTCTGTTGCCGTATGTGCCGTTCTCCACTTCTAGGACGTCCTTTTCTTCCAAGAAGGGGTGCAATATTCTGCTCTATTGCCTGCAGCAAAGGAGAACCACCCACTGAAGATAAAGATAACCAGAAGTTAAGAAAATCAAAGACCACAAGTAGTATAATATCTGAATCTTCGAGTTCACCACCATCTTCTAGAAAAATAAACAATACACAAAATTCTATCCTACCAAAACCGAAAGCAGAAATAGGAATTTCAGCTTTTTCGTTAACTGCACAATCACAACAAAAACTCAAGTATGTATAATAAAATATATTATCTTTGATAAACTGATTATTTTTTCTGATATAAGTTGTTTTTATATTAAAAGCATAACAATATAGTTGTGAATAATATGGAAATACTTATTAATCATTTTAGTTTGTTTCTTTGAAGAATTATCATCATCAGAAGATTATGATTATTCTTCAAAAGATTAGAAAAAACAATGATTTATGAATTGATATAAAGTTTTTATAAAATGTATTTATATATAACCCTATGTGATCTTTAATTAGGAATAGGGATGCCAGAAAGGGGGTTTTATAAAGCAAGTTACACCATCAAAATTTTTGAGGGGGCACATCTTGACGGGATTTTGAATTTTCGAGGGGGACAAATTTTGTCAGGGTTATGAATTTTTGAACTGAAAAGTTTCAAACCAGGGAACAATGGGAAATGCATGGACCAGCCAGACCACAGCAAGTATAATTATATATGAGATATGCTTTTTCTAATTATTCTAGCACTATTTTTTATAAGAGGAAAGAAATAAAATTTCTTGATGGGGGGAGTTGCTGCTCCATCGAAATTGGGGGGGATGGGCACCCCTGATTAGAAAGATATCTTAATTGTTCCATACTGAAATTTTCATTGATATGTGAGTTTAATTTTAATGATATTATCAATTTTCTTTCTTAAATAGTATTCTGCTAGATTCATCTTATGCAATAAATAATTAATAAATAAAAAATACACTATAACATGTAAATGCCTTATGAATTAACAACGATACCACAGCAACTAGGACATTGAGTTCAACCAGCAATTACTAAAAATGTTCCTACAATGTATAATTTTGCAATATATTTGGTAAAATACTTTACTACAGTTCATGGGATATAATCATAATAAGATTTTCTTCAATTCTAAAGAAATATTACCGCTTACCATTTAATTTTATTATTACTTTAATTAAATATGTTACATTTTACAACAATTTTGCTTTACATTTTTTATACTAGTTCCTTTAATGCCTGACCAATCCAAAACGCTTCACAGGCCACATTGATGACTTTTAATGTATTATGTTGATGAAAAATAATGTAGGTTTCTAATATTCATTACTAATATGCCATGTCTTCACTTCAACTATATATACTTAATCCAAATAACGCCCATCAGAATCGATCCACTTTTTACAATGTTCAACAAGTTTTTGTATCCCACCAAAAAAATAATTTTATCCTTGGACACAATTATTCACAAAAAGAATTTTCAATATCATCCTGGTTTTGGAAATTTTTCTCATGCAAAAGGTTGTCCAGGTGCCTGGAAAAATGAAAGTTAGTAGGAGTCAGGTCAGGTGAATAAGGTGGGTGTTGTGTGGATATATAAGATCCATTTTTTATCACATGTCACTATGCGATCAAGAAAGGGATCATTTTTATTGCGTATCAAAAACATGGAACAGATTTCAAAGCGGTGATTTTGTCAGTGGTTGTTTAATTGGTGTGGCACTTGTTAAGCCAACATTTTGCTTTACTAATTGCCTCCAATGGCGTACAATGGTGGGTTGGTTCACTCCAAGTTCTACTGTTATTTCTTTTGGTTTTGGTTGGGTCTTCTTCCATTATTACCTCAGCTGTTTGTTGTCAACTGCATTATGACGGCCATGACCTTCCTTGTCTTCCAAGTCGAAATCTCCACTGCGAAACTTGTGGAACCAATGCTGCACGGTACATTCGTTAATATTCTCCTAATTCCACACTTCATTAATGTTATGAGCAGTTTTCCCACCGCTGTGCCCTAATAAAAGTCTAAAAAATAAATTTGACGAAAATCACACTTTGACATTTTCTATTCTAAACTTATCTTAATTCAAAACCACTGAACAAAATGGTTTTACTGATTAAATTCCTGGTGAAAGAGAAGGTAATAGATATGTTTTAATATGTTATATAAAAAATGAATATTTAGGAATTGGTTTGTTTACACAACTGGTATTAAAACATAGCAATGGTGGAGACCTACATTATTTTCACACCAACACAATAAATGTGAGCTGCACTTTAGATAGTTTTAAAAAATTTATTATAGATTAAAAATTGAATAAAAGTTTATTTTTATAAACTCTAATTTAGTATAATGAACTTTTTTGTATTAATTAATGATATATTTCTTCATCCTTTTATTCAATAAATTTTTCTGATTATTTCAATAACATTTATACTAAATAAAAGAAATTATGCTGCCTAGAAATGATTTTGAATTGTTTGCATCACGATAAATCGGTCATCCTTGGAAACTATTGCTCTCAGTTGGCATGAACCTGGAATTCTCATTAAGTTATCAGTCTCCCTGTATCTCTGGACCGCTCTCTGAACAATTATACATTTAAATATTCATTTATTGAGAAACAAAAGTTTCAATGAAAATATTAAATTGCTCAGCAGACAGCATTAAGTAATGTGGTCAGGCCTGCTGTAATAGATATAATATGAGTAATTAGTTATAACTGTTGTTTGATAAACAGTGCTAATAGCTCGAGTTTTACTATGCATTGCATTAAGATCAATTTGAAATATATAATCATTTAAATGCAGGAATAATTTGTTAAAAAATAATCTGTGGTTCAAAATTTAATATATTTTTTTTTTAATTAAAGGCTTCAACCATTAGGATCATTATTTAATTTAATATTTTAACTTTAAAATTATAAAAAACACAGAATATTAGTTTTTTACATTTATAAATTGTCTAAATACATTCAATAAATTGTTTTTGTTTTTCTTATGTTCCAGGAGTTATGACTCATTTTGTTCCTATAACTCTCTTCGAGAAAATGTACTTAACAGATCTCCAAAAATGGGGAAAAAAATGATTCAAGGCTCCATTCAAAAGTTTTCTGAAAATGCTTTATCGATTCCTGAAAACCAACAAGATGTTCTTCCTCTCCCTTCGCCATATAGTTACAATATTTCATCTAGTAGTAGCCAACCATTTGATCAATTACTTCTGGAAAAAACATTAGAGGAACTAAGAAGAAGAAATGAAAAAGAAGAAATAGAATCTACTAATTCAAATGAATCTGAAATGGATAAAAATAAGTTAGATGAAAACAATTTGGATCGATTTTTCATGGATGCTAATGACATTTTGTTACCACAAGTTGAAAATTTTTTTAAGAAAACAGGAGAGAGTAGTGATGAATGTAGTCAAAACCATGAATCTGTTGGGTTGAAAATTCCTCTTGAATGTAATAGCATAGAGAAAGTTAATTTAAAACCTTTTATGCAAAGAATTCCTGCAGAGGACTACAAAAAAAAAGAAAAGATCATTGTTCATAAAGAAGTAGATGAACTACTTTCTAAATGTAGTGGAAGGGACAGAGAAACACTACATTTTGGTGAAGGAGCTTGTAGTTTGGAAACGTTAAGGTTGACTGCCAAATCAGCTCCAGATTCAATAGTAAGGAGAAAACCTTTGCCTGAATTACCTGGACCTTCATCACCAAAGAAAAATCTTAGTGTTAGATTTCGTTGTGTGAATCCACAAGTAGAACATAATAAACCAAGTTGTAGTTATAAAACAACTAATTATGATTCAGACAGTTCATGTTCAACTTGTTCAACAAGTTCTAGTGATGATACTAATGCCTATAAGCTTCCTCCTCGAAGAGCTTATGGTGGTGTTAGAATATCTTATGTTCCTAATGATGCTGTGGCGTGTGCTAAAAGACAACAAGGGAATCAGAGTTCACTTAAGAAAACTGATGATAAAAATTGTGTTATTTCATGATATTTTAGAACTATTGATCTAATTTGTATATAGGAATACTTGTACATTGAAATGTTGACTAGTGATAAATTGAACATATTGTAATGAAGAATAATATAAATATCTTTTTCTGTAAATTAAAATTCCATGAATATCCCTGAAACTATATTGTTAATAAAACAAAAGTGATAAATTCTGGAGTGTAAGATTTTTATCATATTGATAATCTAGTTCAGTATTGAATGTAAAAATGTATTATTTTTTTTTTAGTCTTTTAATTTTTATTTGACAGTAATATTTAATTACTGGTAGTTTCAAAATTAAAGGACTAATTTATTTATTCAATGTAAAATATTATTTTGCAAAAATATATTTTTATTTTCTTTGTGAATCCTATTTATCCTTTTATTAACAGTTTCAAAATAGGGATGTGTGAAATATTTAAGGGAAGCAGTATTTATGAGTATTTTTTTGTAATATTATGAAGAAAACAAAAACACATATGAACTATTCCAAAATGTATGAATGGAATATGCTTGAATCATAACATATAAACAATCTGGGAATAAATATAAACTCAAGCTATAAATTTGAATTTTTTCAAAAGTCTTTGAAATAATAGGGACCCAAACAGTTATATTAAACTAGATTGGCAGGAAGCATTTAAAGGTCATCTCTTTACTTGATAATCTAACAACAGATGTACAAATGACTTTATTATGTTGAGAATAAATATAAACTCAAAATAATAATCAATTTTTATTTTAAACTTATATGTATATTTATGAAAGACATAGCATATTACCTCAGGAGGTATAATTTATTGATATGTTATAAAAATATAAGTACATACATTACTATTCATGAAAGTATTGAATCCAAACTATGAATAATCTGTAGCATTCTAACGTAAGATGTGCCACCAAAGCACAATCCATTGATTTTTTTCCCAATTTGTGACTTTCACATTTCATCAGAATTACTCATTTTGTAATGTTATATAAAAATAGGATACTAGAAGTGTTTTTTAAAGTTGTTCATTAATGATATGAATAGAATACCTTTTTTTTATCCCAAAAGATTTCAAGAAATTAGATTTCTTATTAATAAAAAAATTATTAAGGAGAGAAATACTTTATTAAAAGTAATGCTGCCCTACTACATAGGGTTGCTACATATACAGCATACTTATCAATCCATATGGACATTACTATTATATTACATTTTTATATTATATATATATATATATATATATTATATATATATATATATATATATATATATATATATATATATATATAGACACATCTTTCCTTCCTTTTTTTTTCTCCCTGTCCATAACAATACTCTTACAAATTATCAACAATAAACCATATAAAACAATAGACATAGCATAATAAACATTTCCCCAAGATAAAAAATATTTTTTTTTTATTTTCAAACGCCAGGAACTCAATACAACATCGCACACACACACACATATATATATATATATATATATAACACAGCAATTCCTCCAATGTAGACAAAAAGACAAGACGATTATAGACCAATTTAAAATTTAATAAACAATTAATACAAGACCTCCTCAATCAGTATATAGAGTTTTACAACACATTTTATTTATCTGTAACGTTCTGGGAATCATTTTGGCCATTTTCAAAAATATTACTGTTTACTATCTAAGTCTAAAATTTCATTTTTGCTCTAGCATTTAAAAAAAATCATCAGTTTTTATTTAGATTTTTTTTGTAGGTAATTTTTTATGGTATTTTTATTTATATAAAACAAGAAATTCTTTTCACACTTATTTGCCTTTAGGTCAATTTAATAAATAATCACAGCTAGTCTTTGATCACTATTTATTAATGAATGTTTTCGGGAATCTTTGTCCCCTTCTTCAGCAAATTATATGCACCAATATTGGGTAAGTCACAGTTATTAATAGTAACTTTGGTCTATGGCTGTAATCCAATTAGTTGTGATTATTTTTAAATTGACCTAAAGACAAATGAATGTGAAAAGATATTTTATAAAAAAAGGTCAAAATTAGACAAGAGAATGATTTTATTACTCATATATACTATGCATTAAAATTAAATCAAACACAAATCAAATAACAAAAGTTTAACAATATATATAATATATATATATATATATATATATATATATATATATATATATATATATATATATATATTTATAATTTTAATCTAGGTTTTTGACAAAATTTATGTAATGCCATATTATTTAAAATAAAATATGTTAAAACACACACATATATATATATATATATATATATATATATATATATATACATATATATATATGTTATATTTTGTATAAATTTGAAATTTTCAAAACAACATATACACACATATATATATATATATATATATATATATATATATATATATATATATATATATATATATATATATATATGTATAATCATAAATCATAAAATCATATATGTTTACTTTTTTACTTTTCTTGAAAATGAATGGAGAAAAAATTATTTTGGAACACTCTGATGAAAAACATACAAAACTATAAAAATTATATTGAATATTTAATAGTCGACCGTAGCATTATAAAGGAAGGAGATGGTCCAGGGTGGCAGTCATAAATAGGCTAAACAGTGGCAAAACTATTTTATTAAAAGCCAATGTTTTTGCAGGTCTTCTTCAGGGCTAGAATGGACAAGATACAAAAAGATAGAGAATTGTGGAAGTTACATAATATTTAGGCAAAAAATTATAAACAAGGTGAATAAGCTTATTAAAATTATAAACAGTAAGTACATTAAAATATAAACAGAGTAAGCTAAGTAACAAGATTCTAAACTGAAGTAAATAAGTGGTAACAGTTGTTGTAATACATAATATATGCAAATGTGAATATACTTCTACAGATTTACAGGAGAGATTGAAAGAAAAGGAAAAAGGATATAATATGAAATAATAGACATAAAGGAATGTGGGAAAAGAAAAGAAAACCAAAAAATTAAATAAATAAGTAAATAAAATTAGAGACTTGCAGGTGTGTTCAGCTAGGAGTTTCACTTAGAACTGGAAAACCAGGGTAAGGGCAGGTATTGGGGAATTTGCTGACTTGTTTGGGTAATGGGGAAAAACCTAAAAAAATACAGTATGTAAAATTTGAAGATATGGATGGATACAAGGGGAAAAAAATACTGTATCTATGAAATATTAAATTATAAATATATACATATACATATAAAATAGAATTAGGAGATTATAGATAAGAGTACAATGTGAATAAAAAAAATGGGAGAAGTAAAACGTTCATAGAAGTAAAATATAAATATAGAAATAAGAGACCATACATTGCAAAACTAACTTAGAAGCATAGAGAGAGAGGGAAAAATGAATAATTATAATTATATTTGGTTGTACATATGTAAGAAAATTACATTTAAATATTAGATAATATTGATACATGGTTAAAAAGTAAAATTAATACAAAGTGAAAACGGATGATCATACATTGATGTAAAAGGTAAATATAAAATTAAAATAAAATAAAATAAAGATCATACAAAGCGGAAATACTTAGAATAATGAACAATTAAATTGAATAATCAATAAAAATTAAAGTAGATAAAAATAAAAATAATAGGATGTAATACATAAGTTATTTTTCACTTATAAGATTTAAAATGTGTCTATATATTAAAGAAATACAGTTTTTATCTACTTTATGATTAACAGGATTCTGTTCCATGTGAATGTGGATGGATTCGGAAATGAGTCTTTTTTCATGGTTAGGGACCTTGGCAAGAATAGAGGTTTTCTCAAAATTAAATGAATGGTTGAGGGTTAAGGCATGTTCTAATAGTTTGGAGGCAGAAGGGAAGTTATAAATGTTTTATGCTGGGAAATGAGGGTTTGAGATGGTTTTTGGTTTCACCAATATAGGAGCTATTACAATTAGGAGTAGAGCAAGGTATCCGGTAAACTACATTAGATCGGTGTTGTAAAAGTAGGATCCCACTTCAAGTTTGTGAAAAGAAAAGAAAGTTTGTGGTGGGACTTAAGGCCAAGACGTAAGTTGGTTAGAGTCAATTTAAGGAATTTTTGTATATTATCTGAAAGAATAGATTTTCTTGTCAGGGAAGAGATTTGTACGTGAAAGGAGTGGTAGGTGATTGTGGGGAGTTGGGAGAAGGGGGGGTTGTACTCTTTTTGGTTGTATATCCATTTAAAAGTTTAAGTATGGTGTTGAGAGGAAAATTATTGGAAAGGAGCATATTTTTGACATGCTAAGTGTTCGCTTGGTGGTATTGTGGATCAGATAAAGAGAAGGATCGGTGAATGAGGTTTTTGGCAGTATTGATTTTTTGGTGATATAGGTGTTGAGAATAAAAGTTGAGTAGTCTGCCTGAGTACATGGGTTTAGTGTACCAGTCAGTTGAAACATAGCCGTCAGTGTTTTTTATTATTAGGAGGTCTAAGAAGGGGAGTGAATTGTTAACTTCTTTCTCTATAGTGAAACAGAGACGGGGGTGGTAAGAGTTGAATGAGGGATGCTGTCAGGGTTAAGAACAAGGAGGAGGTCATCGACATATTTTTTGCTAGGCCTGAAATCTGATTAAAGAATTTTCCTTGGAAAGTGAGATATCCGGATCTGCAACAAAGCTCAAGGGATTCAAGGTATGAGGAGAGATTAAGGGTGATTGTCCAGTTTTTCGGTACAATGTGGAGGGCATTGTCTATTGAGATGTTGGTAAATAGGCTTTCAGCGTCTAGGGAAACAAGGATAAAATTGTCAGGAATATGGAGAGAAGATAACTCTTCTTTAAGGTGGGAAGAATTATTAATGTCATAAGGATTATTGTGACTAAGTTTTTGGAGAGAGAGTAAAAGGAATTTGCTGAGTTTAGTTGAGGGGACGTTAATATTGGAGATGATAGGGCGGATTTCCAGGTTTGTGAATTTTTGAGAGTCCATATAAGCAGGGTGCTAAGGAGTTGTAGGATATAAGGTTGTAGTAAGTGGGACGGTTAATTTGTTTGGTCTCAAGTAAGTTTTTAATGTGTTGGTTGAATTTTAACATTAGTGTAAGGGTTGGGTCACGGGGGAGAGGGGGGGGGTGCATAAGTTGTTTGGTCTGAAAGTAGTTGGTGCATTTTATGTGTCTATTCGGTCTTGTCCATAATAACAGTCGAACTTCCCTTGTCAGCCTTAATAATAATGAGGTGGTCATTTGTTTTCAGGAAAGAGCGGGTTGAGGATAAATCTTTAAAAAACAGGGGGGGATAAAGGTGACGAACAGGATGGAGGTGGTTAGAAATCATGTTACTGGTCCGAATATGGGATAATTCTTTCTCCTCATCGTTAATTCCGAAACGGTTATCTTTATATATGC